GATCAAACTGGATTTAATTGAAAAACAAAATTATAGTGTTTGTGAAAAGAGTTGACTTCCAACAGATAGAGGTCACAATAATCAGTTGACTAGTCTTATAATAAGTGTTTAGGTGTTGCTAATGTCACGTAGATGTTTTTTATATATTTTCATTGCATGAGCATGCATGCTAAAAAATTGTTAGAAATAAAGGTTTTTTAATTTTATTGATCATTATAATTAAAAAATATATTCAGAGGCAGCTCAAACAACTTGGAGGTCTTAGAAAAGTTGCTAAGAGGTTCTTTTTCAGAATAATAATAAGGGAGAATATTGATGGATAAATGATCACTGCGAAAATAACATGATTGCCCAAGGTATATATACTTCAATGGAATATTGTGACAGAAAATCTATATTTATAGGTGTTTAAGATGAAACTATCGAAAATGATGCTGTGATTATCGATGTAACTTTGTTGGCAATTATTAAGAGAATATCATCGATGATTTTTTTGACTATCAATGATTGTGTTTCAGTTGGTGATCATCGGGAAGAAGTGTTGACATTACAAAACTGTTTTTTCTTTCTACATTTCCTTTATAATTTTTCTAAATTTAAGTTCAAATATCTTTCTATTTTTCTTTATAATATTCCAATGAATAAGTTAACTTTTTTAATATCATTTTATTCTCAATTAGTTTTTATTCTTTTATTTTTACTACTTTATTTATTGACGAAATTTTGTTGGTATTCAAAATTATATACTATTTATGTTTTAATATTACAAAGTAAAAGTATTTTGTAAATTATCTTAAAATAATTTTTTAATTATTATTCAATTACTGAATTTTTTTTGAAGAATATTTAACATTGAATATTTTTTATTATTTTATATAACGATAGAAGTAATATCCATAATTAAATTTATTAAATTTTATGTCATCTAAAAAAAAAAAAAAACTCCACTATTATATTTATTTTATTTTTGTGACCTATTAATTTTTTTTGTCATTAATCTTAATATTTTATTTAGTATGTTATTTAGCGACATAATTAGGCTATAAAATTAAATTTGATTAAAAACTTTAAAGTGGAAAATTTTGACCTCGAGATAAAAATTATTTAGATTGATTTTTCACTTTGATTTTGCTGCTTTTACCATAAATAAGATATTTAAACTTTTTTCTTCATATGTTTTCTAATTCTAAGTATCACATTTTGAATTAAATATATTTAGATTATTAATCATTCTTTATTATTTTTTCCTGTATCATTTTGGTATCAAAATTTCAACTATATTTCTGATCACGTCAGGAAAAAGATAAGCTGCTATTTGTGAAATCCAAATACGGAAAGTCATGTAACAAACTGAGTCAGTAAAAATCGTCAATAAGGGATAATAATTGGAACAATTATGTTAACTGATGGAAGTGCTGATGTACAATGGCCCCATTATCGCGTAGGCATGGCTTGAAAAGTTAGCAGTGGTGGAGGATTTCATAGTGATGAAAAAATGTAGGTTAGTTTGGATAAAGTTATTAATCAGCATTGGATTCGATATGGTGATTAATTTAGTTGATGAAAAAATACCGCCTTAAACGTTTAGAATCCGCCAAATATAAAATGAAATCACATACAAACGTCCTAATTTCATGCTTCACAACCATGATAATACCATACAGTGTCATTAAATGAATCCAGACTATGACTGAAAACATATTAAAGATGAAATTTAAATGATTAGATATTTCTCATATGGTCTTAAATTTTACACTCGTTAGTTCAACATTTTGTCACCATAATACGAATTAACACCAAATTAGCATTATGAAGTAACAAAATCGATCAATACGAGTCTTATGATCTTGTAAAATGGGAAAAGAATGATCCCTTTTACAAGTTCACACTAAATTTTATTGTAATAAAGGAAGTAGGTGAGGTAGTTATTGGCCTTTGATCAGAAAACCCGCAAGAGGCTAATGCAGCGTTCAAAAGCACCGGCCAATTAAGGGACAAACTATAGTGGAATTTGTTTTTCAAATTATGATATCTAAGTGCTAAGAAACACGTGTTTGACGAACTAAAACACGATCTTAATTTATTGATTTTTCTTAGACTTTTACAAGTAGAATTGTTTTTCTAATATATACTTTTGGATGAGTTGTTCTCATAAAGTACTTTATTTGACAAAATGGATTACTAGTTAGAAAATGGCATTATAATTATGAAATATACTTTTATGTGATAAAACTATGTATTTTATTTTTATTCAAAAATATATTGGCAGTTTATTATACTATATTATAAATATATCATAGGTCATAAAAAGGATCTAATAAAGTACAAAAGCTTCCATCTTTCTAAATCAATAAATCCTACTGAAATAGTGCATGATTACATATATTATTAATTTCAAGAATCTAGAAATTAAATTATTTTTAAGTTGATTATTTAAATAGTTAATTGTTTAACATTACTACTGATAAACACTTTTTTAGCTAACTTTAGTAGAAATAAATTTGATATTTAATATATCAAACTAACTTTTCAATTTGTAAATATGGTTATTATATAAATAATTTCTTATTTTTAGTATTTAACTTATTTGATAACCTACTTGCAAAATAATTTCTAATATATGAAAATGAGGAATTTCTTATTTATAAATAATTAAAGTGTTATTTCATAATATTCATTCGCTATGCTACTTCTAAATTACTATTGGAAATAAATATCTAGAAAAACTAAAATGTATTTATGACTAAGTAAAATAGGTAATTTTATCATTTGCATTGTTATTGTTTCTTCATAAAATTTTATTATTCTAGTCCATAGGGCATAAATGAGTATGATACATGTTGACCTCGAAAATTGGTTTTTCCACGTGGTCAACCGAGAGCTACTCCACGTTTCCTCCCTGCGCACAATCAGCGAATCGTCAGACGCACACGGCCGGGACCAACGAGGGTGGTGGCGGCCGTATACACTCCGACGATCAAATCAGGTTTAAGTGGTTGGAACAATACTCAGGGACTGTGCAAATCAATGGTAATGGGGGAGGAGAAAATATTTAAGCTTGCTATGGAGTGCTATGTAATAAGAGTTTCATTACCTTTGCCTCTTACCAAATCTTGGGTATTTATAGGTGGTATAAGTCGTTGGATGTGGGACGCGTGTATGCATCTGATGATATGAGGCGTTCGCTCATAGGCGTCAATCAGCCGCGTCTGTAGAGTGGACGGACAGCTTGTCTCTTCTGAGTTGAATTGACATAAAGTTGATAAGTCACATCATCTAACCTCATGAGGACGTCAAATCAATTTAGACCTTAGGTGCAGGAAAGATCTTGGCACAAATCTCTTATGGAAATTGGTAGCGGATCCTCTTACCGGGATCCACTTAGCCTCGGCCTCGAGGGCGAGGTACCTTTGGTCAGGTCAGTACTACTAGGTTGCAGGCATTGTTGACATCACTTCGGAAACACTTCGGACGAATCTTTACCAGGTCGGAATATATGGTAGTGAGCGTTCCGAGGCGTATCAGATCGGAACGTAACAATACATAACATGTTCATATATTTTAAAAATTTACTAAGACATAGTTATATATTTATGATCAAAGTAAATGAATCTAGTGTAATAAGCTTTTGATATCACATGAAAACTAAAAAAGCATTTCCCATCTTGATATGACTAAAAATTTACTAACATGCATTCGTTTATAATTGAAGAAAATATAACAAGTTCTTAATACACGAAAAATAAAATATTCTCGATTTAATGCCAATTCAAAAATTTAATCATTGTTTTATCATTTCATGTGGCAAACAATTGTAAGATGTCTTTATTTAATGCCCTAATTATTGGGGCATTTGCATTATTTAAAATAATCTTTGCTAGGTAATATTTGCATCATTGGCTTGCCCTTGTGCTATTAATGTTAGTTAAACTATTGAGGGTTAAACTAGACCTGTCACAATTATCTACTTACAGCCTAACTACAAGATCGTGTCATGTTTTAAGTTTACTTATAAGTAAAATAAAATACTTAATTTCATTTTAGTTAATTTTGAAATTTAATTATTTATTTGTAAGTAAACTCAATGTTAGATAAGCTTAGCCAAACATGACCATAACTATATAAATTTTTTTCATGTCAGGAGGATGATATCGCAATTTACCTTTTTAGACGGACATGATCATGCAAAGGGTCAGAAGGAGAAGCAATTGTCCACGGCTTGACGTGGAAAGCTAAGCTGTAGTGGAGGTTGGCCGAGGTGAAGCAATACGGAATGTTTTGGAAGTGTATATAAATAATTTATATTAAGAATAATTAAAATGTATAGTAAATAAATGAATAGTATTTGTGAGTTTTCGAGATATACGTAGATAAAAAATTGACTTGCATTCTTATAAATCGTTTGTAAAAGTGAGCTAAATTTCAATCAAGTTGCAAGAGATTACCTCTAATTTTTTATCTTGAGTATTGAATTTGCGAATTTTCGATTCTTGATAGCTATGTTCACGAATTCTTCAAACTTCATCTCCATCATCATGTGTACTTACTAGTTACGTACATGATTTGATTTTGAATTAATTAATAAAGCTTGCTCCAAAAAAATAGAATTAATTGTTTCAATGGTTATTGAACTTAGGTCAATACTTTTGATTGATTACTAAAATTTAAAATGTCGTCGAATTTTGATCATTGAATTTAAGTCCATGCTTTTAATTGCTCACTGAAATTTAAATTGTCGAGTTTTGGCTACTAAATTTTGAAAAATGTCATACATTACTCACTAGCATAAATGTTGAACTTTGAAAAATATCGAGTTTACATTGAGTAATGTACAATATTTTTCAAAATTCAATGGTCAAAATTCGACATTTTAAACTTTAATTAGCAATCTATAATATGAACCTAAGTTCAATGACTATTATAACAATTAACTCAAAAAAATAACAAGGATAAAATTACAAAATATGACTCACTCTTGGGTTTAAATATCCGAACATGCTCCGCAACTTTCTTGTAATCTCTCTCTCTCTCTCTCTCTCTCTCTCTCTCTCACACACACGCACACAGTATCTATGTTCTTGAGTTTGTGATCCCAAAACAGTTTTGCAACGTTTTAATTGAAGAAGAATTAACAAAACGAAGCACTTTTATATGATATACATACTTTCTTGCCGAAAATCTTGAAAAACTGCTTATTACAGTATCGCTTTTTCTGTTTCAAGCAATGGGAATAAAAGAAAAACTCAAAACTTGTTCTTCCACTTCAAGAACCTTCAAAGTCTCTTTGGTTAGTTTCAACTGTGGTTTCTGACAAAAAAGAATGGATTTTTTCAACACAATCAATGGGTATTCTGAGAACCTATTTGGGTTCCAAGGTGTAATAACAAATGGGTCCTCATCAAATTCATCGTTGATTTTGGATAAAGAAAGAGGAGAGCTTGTGAAGGCTATGCTGAAGCCGGGCGAGAAAAAAGTCAATGAAGAGAAGGCATTGATAGCTATGAGGAACCACAGTGAGGCTGAAAGACGTAGAAGAGAAAGAATTAATGGGCATTTGACGACTCTAAGGAGCCTAATTCCTGGCACAGATAAGGTAGTTTAGCTTTTTGATTAAATGCATGTTAGGAAACTTTTGCCTTTATGTGCTCTTTCTGTTATTTACTTCCAAGAACAAGATATAGTAGATATACTTGGGGCATGTTTGGTTATCGTAATATTGGAGAGGAATCGATATTATAGTGATTAAGATTTTAGCCTTTCTCTTCTTCATCCTCTCTTGTTGAACTTACGAAGCATTGAAATAGGTAGTTTTAGTGTTTGATTCAATGCATGTGAGAAAAAATTCACCTTTATATGCTCTTGCAGTTATTTAATTGAATGATTGTAAGCATGATCTGCAAACATGCAGCAGATCCATACTGCAGATATATAAGAACTTAGATAAAAGTAGATATATAATATTGGCAAATGTTTGATATTATAATGAATGAGATTTTAACCTTTTTTTTCTTCCTCCAATCGTGTCCACCTAACAAAGCATGCCATTACTGTTGAAGCTTATATGGTGATTTTTTTTGTTGGGGTATTAAAGTTTGTGTTGTTGAGTTTATTCCCAGGTATTTTAACTAAAAGTATTCCCGATAAATTATATGTTTAATCCATAATCATCAACCCACTACTCACCAAGAAATTTTAATAGGCATCTCTTTGAAGAAATCAAAGTTTAGATGAATGCTATATTTTGACTGTGATCGTTTCCAAAGCTACTGAATATCAATATCCAAACTTTTTCTATGTCATGAGATTTACGGCGATCGGTTGCTGGTGTCTGACTTAAATGAACAGATTCCAACACTTTGAGATTTTTCACAATTTATGGATATTTAAAGCACAAAAAAGCTGTCTTTTACAATTTTTTCTATCATGCTTTGTACAGATATAACTGATTCCTGCAGTAGCATATGGTAAATGTAATCTTCGAAAGACCTTGAATGTATCTAAGCATTACAATGATTAAAAGCAACCAGATGGTAGAGGAAATGGGTTGATGGGGGCATCGTCGCACATACATTGAATTCAATAATTTTGATTTAGGCCATACTTCGAATTTGTTTCCTAGTTCCTACTCCCGTGTTGGCAGTAACTAAATCACTGATGTTATAAAATAACCGGGCATCTAAATGGGATGCATGTTTTTGCTGTACTGAATGAGTACATTTATATGAACAGATGGACAAAGCAGCATTACTGGCTGAAGTTATTAAAAAGGTAAAAGAGTTGAGAGGGAGTGTCGCAGAAGCTACTAAAGGCACACTTGTGCCGACTGACATTGATGAAGTAAGAGTCGAACAAGAAGCAGACCAACGTGATGGAGCGACGTTTTCCATCCGGGCATCTCTGTGCTCTGATTACAGACACGAGATTCTCTCTGATTTAAGACTAGCACTTGAATCTCTCCCTTTGAAGACAGTGAAGGCCGAGATCGCTACCTTGGGAAGTAGAATGGTGAATGTTTTCGTTGTGACTGGATGCAACACAGAAAATGTCGATAATAATATAGAAGATTGCCAGCCTCTCATAGATTCTGTTCGTCAGGCTCTGAAATCCGTGCTTGATAAATTTTATGCATCAGAGGAATTCACATCAAGAAACATGGTTTCGAGCAAAAGGAGAAAAGTTTCGTTTTTCAGTCCTGCGAATTCATCTTATTTGGGAGATTTCTGGTGAGAAGTTGATTTCGTTCATGGCCCTAGTCTCTTTATGTTTATGATATAGCAATTTCGACTTCGCTAGCATATGCCTTAGCATACATGTCTTGTATAATAGAAGGGATGTGCATGCCATGTCATATGCTTGCTTTTATGGTTAATAAGTGTAGTACTTCTTGCAAAATAATAAAAATTTATGGTTCTAAATTCTAATATACTTGTCTTGAAAATGTACAAGATATTCGTCTAGTTTTTATCCAACATAATATGGAGTATATAGACTCTTTCTTTATGAAGATTTGTTCGTAGCAACATACCCTTTCGTGACAAGAAAGAGGACATGTCCTTCAACTCACAAGTATTATTTGAGCCGCGATCAAAAGTTGTGGAAGATTGAGGAACCAAATTTTAGTATTATTCTATCAAAACCATTGACCTGATACCTACTCTTAGTAAAGTAAATATTATATTAAACAAAAATGTACCATTGAAGCATGCATATCAAATACCTACTATTTTACCTACTCATTTACCAACGTATTTCCTTATTATAATTCATATTAAAACTAAACATTATTTATTTAGAAAGTCAAATAAAATGTTTGATTTGTAATACTAGAAAAATGAACAAAAATCGCCACGTCTATTTGGAATGAGTTAAACATTCAATTTCCTTGTGTACGTTAAGAAGCAAGATTCTTCATTTGTAACTCTAGTATGTTCCTCTCAAGTTTTGTAACTGAATCAGCATTTCCAAGTTTATGTTGTTTCAATGCTTCGATTCTTTCTCCTATTGTATTTTTAAATGTCATAAAATACGTCTCCTTTCTTATTGGATTGAAGGTTCACCAGGCCTTATCTAGCCTAGGCATGAGTGGTGTTTGCTCGTAAATCGCTCTCGAACTATAGAAATTTACAACCATGTTTCATTGTGAACCATTCCTAAAAATTAGACATCTTGTTAAGACATTTAATTGAATTTCCAGAGAAATTGGACGACTAGAAGGTGATTATAATGACCCAAAAATAAAATCTATGTGGAGATTTGGAAATTTTGATAGTTTCAGCCTTTCGAGACCATTTTGAGTTGTTATATGACCCAACTATTTTTTAGGCCTAAATCCAATTTTAAATTCATATTCGAACGAATGGGTGGTAAGGAGCTGCGCTGGTCTCGTTCACGAGCCCACCATCCAAGCTTAGTTCGACTTGTTGGGCAAGCCGAGCTCGATCCATTGGTCAACAAGTGAGTTTGAGTTGGCTTGTTCACCAAGAGGTCATGTCCTGGCCGTGAAGGTGTTGGTAAAAAACTAATTAGTTGCAGTAGTGATCAGAAAAATATAATGCAAAGATATAAAACTTATCGTTCGATCGAATCTCGTGACAGCACGATGTCCTAAAGTGAAATTGCCCGTCAATAATTGTTGCGACCTCCGTGGACAATCACTCCCAGAATACAACGATCGTAAACCACTTGTGCAGCAATCACGAATGGCTTTTTTAGAACTCTCAATTGTACTTCATAATAAATGTAAAAACCCGAATATAAGAAATTCAGAATATGAAAAGGAGGATTGATGCAAGATGATTTTTCTATTTTCTTTTTGTGTGTATTTTTCCCAAAACGAAATATGGGTTTATATAGGCAAGATGGAAGTAACAGTCTTCACCATGTTAATGCAGAATTTTAATGACTGAGTAGTGGGTGTTTTAATAGCTGTTAGTGGGTTGTTACAAAAATAAACAATCAGAAAATACTGGCTAGTTTTACCCATTAAATAATAAAGAAAAAAATCGTTTATTTTAGTCAAAGAAGCCCAAGGCCCCAATGAAGACATTTTAATATCTGCGTGGGGAGTGACTCAAACCCTTGATGTCCCACACAAATGTCACATTTCCCACCACTTTGACACTTTATCTAATTTGATTATTTCTTTCACATTTTATATTTATACCATAAATATATAACAATCTCCCACATGAAAGAAATAAGATAAATGAAAATATTACTCTGGAATACGGTAGAAATCATGCAGACTTAGGTGTCTATCGACTTAACATTGGCTTTGTATATTTTATCGAGCTTACTAACTATAGAGTAAACTATGTCTTGAACTCTACAATTATAGTTGCAAACTGAGACAATAGAACACACACATGATTTCTAGAACAGTCATTGAGTTCTCGCGGTTGTGTTCATTTCGATCGTGAACTTTCCCAATTTTTTTGAGTGCTCTAGAGAATTCGCCTCAATTCTCATAGGAAGTGGCCCCACTTCCACACTCAAATTGGTGCTATTATCAAGGGTGCACTGTATTTAAACACCCCACTGAATATTAGCTATAGTAAACATTAAGAGCATTAGCTCATCCTCTAATCAATACAGTTAGTACTACGCATCATAGGAAGGGGTTTGGAATAAATCCAATATAGTACCCCCACAGACCACTCCAATAACTTTGTTGTCCCATTAAACCTTGAACATGGGATCTCCAATTGCAAGGTTGGGTTTCCATTATAGGTGATCTAATAAATAATCGGCTTTAGCCCCATCCCCCTCGATGTTTGTTGAATTAGCTCTCTAGCCAATCCTTTGGTTAATGGGTCAACAATGTTATCACTTGACTTCACATAGTCAATAGTTATAATCACATCTTAAGCAGCTGACACACAGTATTGTGCCTCCTACAAATATGTCTAGACTTTCCATTGTAGGATGAATTTTGAGCTCTTGAGATAGCTGTTTGACTGTCACAATGTATTGAAATAGTTGGAAATGGTTTAGACCACAAAGGAACATCTATAAGAAAATTCCTTAACCATTCAGCCTCCTCACCTGCCTTATCTAAAGCTATGAACTCAAATTCCATAGTAAATCTAGCAATGCAGGTTTGCTTAGTGAATTTTCAGGAGACAGCTCCGCCTGCTAATGTAAATACATATCCACTTGTAGATTTACTTTCATTGGTATCGGAAATCCAATTAGCATCACAATATCCCTCAAGTATAGCAGGGAATTTGGTATAATGTATTCCCCAGTCTAGAGTGTATCTCAAATACCTCAAGACTCGAATGAGAGCATTCCAATGTTCATTGTTAAGATTACTAGTATACCTGCTAAGTCTACCGACAGCATATGCTATATCAGGTCTTATACAGTTCATGAGATACATGAGACTGCCGATTATTTTAGCATACTCTAAAGTGGAAACACTAGGACCTGAATGTTTTCTCAAATGACGGCTTACATCATAAGGTGTTTTAACAGGAATACAGTTGTATTGATTAAACTTTTAAAGCACCTTTTCTACATAATGCGATTGGGTCAAAATAATTCTTTCAGAATGTTTTACTATTTTGATTCCTAGAATAACATCAGCAACACCCAAATCTTTCATTTCAAAGTGCTTGTTCAGAAACTGCTTAGTTTTATTAACCACATCCAAACTAGTTCCCATAATCAGCATATTATCAACATATAAGCAAATTATCGCACCACAATTATTTTCAAATTTGCTAAATATGCATTTATCTTCTTCATTTATCATATAACCACTTGATGTCAAAACTGTATCAAATTTTTCGTGCCATTGTTTAGGAGCTTGTTTAAGGCTATAAAGGGATTTTTTAAGTCTACATACTTTATCCTCAAGGCCTTCTACAACAAATCCTTCAGGCTGATCCATATAAATCTCCTCTTCTAAGTCTCCATTTAAAAATGCAGTCTTGACATCCGTTTGATGTATAGTAAGATCATACAGTGAGGCAATTACAATTAACATCCTAATAGAGGTAATCCTAGTAACGGGTGAATAAGTATCAAAGAAGTCAACTCCTTCTTTTTGTTTATAGCTTTTAGCTACAAGTCTTGCTTTATACTTATCAATTGAACCATCAGGTTTAAGTTTTTTCTTAAACAACCATCTACACCCAATTGTCTTACATCCTTGAGGTAAGTCCACTAACTCCCAAGTATTACTAGATATAATTGAATCATATTCACTATTTACAGTTTCCTTCCAAAATATAGAATCTGGTGAAAACATAACTTCACCAAAAGTACTAGGATCATCCTTTACTAAGTAGGTTATAAAGTCAGGACCGAAAGAAGTAGTGGTCCTAGGTCTTTTGCTTCTTCTAATTTCAGCTTCTTCTAATTTAGATGGCTCCTCTCTAACACTAGGAGGAATAATAAAAGAACTGCTTGATCCTTCAGACTTTTCTTTAAACGAAAATCTATTTTCAAAAAATTCAGCATCTCTAATTTCAAATATTGTGTTCTTTTCAATCAAATTATTTTTAGAGTCAATGACTAAAAATCTATAGGCATTATTATGAAAAGCATACCCTATAAAAACACAATCAACAATTTTCGAACCAAGTTTAGTTCTCTTAGGTGCTGGAATAGAAGTTTTAGCTAAACACCCCCACACTTTAAGATATTTATATGAAGGTGTTCTGCCCTTCCATATTTCATAAGGAGACTTATTATTTTCTTACTAGGAATTCTGTTAAGAATATAATATGCAATAAGAAGTGCTTCACCCGACATGTTAAAAGGTAATCTAGAAGAGTTTAGCATTGATATGACCATATCCTTAAGGGTTCGATTTTTCCTTTCACTTACACCATTAGATTGGGGAGAATAAGGTGGAGTAGTCTTATGAATAATATCATTCTCAACACAAAATTTATTAAAATCTCCTGTATATTCTCCTCCCCTATCAGATCTTAAAATTTTAATAGTTTTGTCTAGCTGATTTTCTACTTCAGTTTTATAGGAAATAAATTTTGAATAGCTTTCATCCTTACTTTTAAGTAGATAAATATAACAATATTGAGAATAATCATCAATGAAAGTTAAGAAATATTTATTTACACCACAAGTAACATATCTTTTTAAGTCACATATATCAAAATGTATCAAACTTAAGACCGAAGTAGTCCTATCAACACGAGGAAATGATTTTCTAGAATATTTAGATTCAACACACGTTTCACATTTTGAATTTGGACAATTATCGATTTTGGGAATGTTTCCCAAAGTTATTAATTTTTTAATAGAAGTTTTATTAACGTGTCCAAATCTAGCATGTCACAAATCATAAGAATCCAACAAGTAAACGGAAGAGTTAGATGCTTTATTATTAATCACAGAGATATTTAGTTTAAACAGACTCTCATCTGCATACTAGATTTTTCCTAATATCAGATA